AGGTTTCGACTGAGTGTGATTTACTTGAAGGAAGCACTGTAAAACTGAACATACAAATAAAGAACATGTCAAATAATGTTTCTTGTGCTTCACAATTCAATTGTTACATTCAGATTTAACATATTTAACATGTTGCTTTCCATATAGACGATCGAACAAATCCACTTTGCAATTTTCTCTTTTTGGAAGTACAATTTTCTGCTCGTTTCTTTAAATTGCACTTTACTCTATTAACAAAAAAAAATATTGAACTAAATACTCACTAAATACAGCGTTCTGTTGAATTTCTTCTGACGCAACACTAACTACGGCAACTCTAGATGTACACACTTAAGACATTAATTTCGCTATGGCCACTAGATGTCACTATGGGACTGTTTTAATGAGGCCGGTAAAAAACGTCTCTAGGTTACGTATGTAACCATGTTTCCCCGAGGGAACGAGACGCTGCGTCGAGATTCGCTTTGGGAACACCCCTGCCTGACCGTGTTCTGAAGCACGTGTAAAATCAGTCCAATGGTGCTGTGCAGTGGTATCAGTGAACCTCCGTGAGGGCACTGAGGAGGATTGGGCACCGTATACTGAGGTGTTATCCTTTCCTCCCCAGGTGGGGCTGCCCTCAGGGACCTGACAATGGTAGGACCGTTTAGCCGAGGTCCTCTTAGACAAAATAACGGTCCGCAGATCCGTTTATGGTCTAGAAGACCCCGACTGAGAGCGTCGCCCCGACCTTTCTGTGGAGGGTTGCAACGCTCTGTTTTTGAGACTGGTGATATGAGGAGCTTGACGGCTTGGGCTGCTCCCGCTCAGCAGCCCCACCCCTGAGCGGGTCAGCCTGGTATGCTTGTAACCCCGCCATGGTGTGCAAACATGCGCCAGCCAGCCTGGCCTGCCGCCGCATAAGCTTTCCCAACCAGACTCGATGTAAGCCTAACGGGCCTGGTGGGAAGCTCGATGGACTGTACATCTGTAGGGCAGACAGAGCAATGACTGACCAAGGTGGAGCCGAAGGGACAAGGGAGCCCAGAGAAGCCGAGGAGACGACAATCCTAGTTAGAGCTGACTGCTCAACAGTCCTAGGAGGAGTGATGAGCACTGAGGTCCTAGGGCAGGGGTTTCCAATCCAATCACACATGGTGTGCAAACATGCGCCAGCCAGCCTGGACAGCCAGGCGAGAGCGGAGCATACGCAGCGAGAGTAACTCGCAGTGATGACAATCAGCTCCCTTGAAAGCTAAACAAACAACACACAGTTCGTGTGTATCCCCCGCTTCCAGATAGTGTGGGCAGGGAGGCACACAACGTCTGTAATGCCGTTTGCTCGCCATAGATATTAGTTTAGACTTTGACATATTCTTTTGAATGCTTGTGGACTGACAGACAACAGTAAATAGACTGACACATACACAGAGCGCTACTGAAGAGCAGAAGCTAACTTGCGCTCTGCTGGATGCGCTTTTATACTTCCTGGCGCTCACGTCACCCCGCTCGTGACGTCTCGCTGCTCCATTGGACTGATTTAACACGTGCTTCAAAACGCGGTCACGCAGGGGCATTCTCAAAGCGAATCTCGACGCAGCTCGAGTTCCTGAATGGGAACAATTGATCTGAACACAATACAGACCTTTTTACAGGCCTTTTTACAGACCTTGTATTGGAAACCCAATACAGATTGGGTTTCCAATCCTGCTTCAGGAGGGCCAGTGTCTTGTGGAGTTTAGCTACAACCATCTTAAACACACTTGTCTGGATGTTTCTAATGATTCTGAGTGCCTTGATTAACTGATTCAGGTGTGTTTAATTAGGTTAGGAGCTAAACTCTGCAGGATAGTGGCCCTTCAGGGACAGGTTTGGACACCCCTGTCCTAGATGGAGTTAATGGGCTGACTGTCCAAGGCTGAGGGCTGAGGAGAGGCAGTGCAGACAGAACTAAAGGACTGGACAATATAGGCAAGTTTGAACAGACTGACTTCACAAGAGAACACAAGATTGTCATAAAATCCATGAACAACTCTCTTGGCCGAGGAGGAACAGGTAGGGAACTTACTATACAGACAAAACAGGCAGAGGAGATGGGAATGGGAGGCAGGGCAGGGACACAAATCCTAAAATTTCAGTGTTGTGCAGGAGGAGATTTGGTGCAGGAAATAGAAAAGGGCAAGGTGCACTCAGTCTCAAAGTCTATAAGCAGTGATATGCCAGCTGTGGTTAAAGGGGTGGGGCTCCACGACATGCCCTCAAACTCTACTGCTTAATCCACTGGCACAGGTGATGTTGCCGGCTCACACACCTGGTCAGACTATCCATTGCTCAGTCCATAATGCTGGCACTTCAGTCATGGCAGACTCCAGCTCCACATCTGTGGTAGACACAGGCTTTGCCATTGCTGGGCTGACACTCTGTTTTCTTCCTCACTCTCGTAGATCATGAATGGGGAACTGTGGTGGAGGAGTAAATACTGTACTGTACAGATTAATCAAACTAATCAAATAATGAATGATCAAGGAAACAAACTGAAAACTAGGTCACAGAACTAAAATACGTGACAAAACCATTTTAAACAGAAACAAACACAGAAGATTCCTAACAAAGACCAATCAAGTAGCAAATTATTAGTGACGTCAGATCTTATTCAGAACAAGCAAGATAATGATGATGGCGATTCAGTAAAGGCTGTATAACAATAGGGATGTTCCCTCTATTAAGTATAAGCATCAGAGATGACATTTCAAAATGCTTTTGTACTTTTTTTAAATAAACAAAATTAAAAGCATCTATTTATCCAGTAGATAAACTGGCAGTAGTTTGTCGGTAACAAAGGTTTTAGTCTGTTCTCAAAGTACCACGGTACAGTGATAGGGTCATATATAATATTACTATGACATACTGTACATAATTACCAAATCCATGTACAATGCAAAGCTTTTAATTCAAAAAGTGTATAAAAGTATATGATTTATACAGTATATGTAAAAAACACTACAATAGCATATTATTATCAAATGTTTCCACCCACCCTAGTTACTTTGATACTCTTTTGAATATGAAATAGCTAGATATCTCTCTTTCCCCTCTCTAGCCCACGCTGAACAGAACTATGATGTGGGTAATAGAAAGCTCCTTGCCATGAAGGCAGCATTTGAAGAATGGCGCTTTGTGGTGCTGGTACTTTGTCATGAATGCTGATGTAAAACCTTCGATCAGCCACCGGAGGTCTCACTCCCCAGAGTATTAACCACTGGACTACGTTTCCCATGAGCCCTCATACCTGGACTGAAGGTGCGTTCACGCCATATCGGAATTCCCGTAATTACGAGATTCCAACTTGTAAAAAGCATTCACATCCTCGTAGAACTCATAATTACAACTTGTGAACTGGGAGTTTTCTGAGAGCTACGACATGTACCATGTGACCGCTGTACCACCTGACCACCGCAGGTTCTGTTTAGGCGTTGATAGTGTTGCCAAAGAAAAGCATAATTCCGAGAACGTCACGTGTTGTCATCTCAAAATTACGGTAATTACGATATGGCGTGAATGCAGCATAATTTCTGCTCACCTGACCGTTATGCTGCGTTCAAGTCCTCCTGGGATGTTCGTACTTATGAGTTGACAAGTCGTAATAACGACGTCAGGTGCGTTCAAATCACTTTGGTCGGAAAAAGATGGCGATTTAACTTTTCTACATAAAATCAGGAGGTATGAGTGAGTCTTTGAATCACTCAACTGATTTGTTCAAAAACACTAATTCATACAGGAACAAAATGCCACAACTATGTGTAGTGTCCTGGGAACTCTACATCTACAAAATGACGAATAAAGAATGTGCATAATTGTGTTTTCGCATTTTTCTGTTTTTATTCAATTTATGAAGGTGATTTAAACTGAATCATTATAATGATTCAATAAGATATGTTCTATGGTAATTATATAGTAATATAATATTTTATATATGTAACTTATATAATGTTAGTTTTATTTTACATTACAAAAAATTAATCATTTTTATTAATTTCAACAAATTTTCCGTCAATATAGACACTGAATATCTATAGTCTTTGGCTGCGTCCATTGCGTCCGACACGTTTTCTCACTGACATGCCCCCAACTCGGAAACTCTGGGTTTAAAGAAAATTTCAAGTTTCCCACTTGTAACAACGATTTTGTGGTGGCGTTCATGTGCGTTCAACTCGTAAATAGGTCTATCTGACATGACTTGAATGCACCATTAGCCTCAGACTATTTAAACCCTGTGTTTTTGTCTACCCTTCGCGAAGTCTTGTTTGCCCCGGCTGCAATTCTGAGCGTTTTGTCTGTTTCTCATCTTGCCTGCATATCAACCTGCCTGGATTACTACCTTACGATTCTCAGCTGCTTGCCCTGGTTGGATATTGTTTGTTGTGGACTGATATTCCGTTTGTTTGCTGCCTGCCCTGACCCTCTGCCTGGTGATGACCACGATTATTGTCTTGCCTCTGACAATCCTGTTTGTATTGGTATGCCAACCACTGCCCATTTGTACTCTGAGACGGCTTCTGCTAAATAAACCGCACATGGATCCCACTCAACCAAAGTCGTTACAGTATAACTATGATCTTTAATTAAAGGAGCAGTATTTTTTTAAATGACAAAATAGTTTTAGCTGATGCTATATGACGCTGGTGATTGTGGCTGCACCTAAAATGACTCCATCATCATGAAAGTTATTAAAGCCATTTGACATTCAGTTGTTAATTTCTAACTTATAATGTAAACAAATATTATTATAACAGTACTTGTGTTATTTGTTACTGCAGTTAACATGGATGGAAATGCAAATTAAAATATTACAGCTGGACCTTAAAGTAAAAAACAAACAAAAAACATCTGGGTATCTAAACTACAAATTTAACAAAGAGTGGCCCATCTGAATGTACTTAATGAAATGATGATATGGATTAATATTTGAAATATGATGACTGTAAGAGATGAAAGCAGGTCGATTCAGACCTACAGGTGTAACGTTTACTGACTATTGAGGGGTAAGATCCTCAGACGGTCACTACTGAAGAAAGGAAAGACTGTGTCAGTGAAGGTGGTTGTGAATGTGTGTAGATGTGTGTTAGTTACAGGATCAGAGAATGACACCGTTCCTCTGTCATAGTCCAGATTAACTCTCACACGCTCAAGATCCTGTTTAACAGGAAAACCAAACTGATCAGACCATCTGTACGTCACACTCCAGACATCAGTGTTAAAGAAATCATCTCCCTTTCTTTGGTTTGATGCTGTAGTTACTCCAAGACTCCATATTAAACTCTTTTTAACCTCCACATCCCAGCAGTGTGTTCCTGAGTTAAAACCCTCTGAACCCAGAACACAGAAATACCCGTTGAATCTCTCTGGATTATCAGGAAGCAGTTTACAGTTCTCGGTATATCTCACACTGGTCAGATCATCAGAAAGCATGAGACGTGGATGAGCCGTGTTTGGATCCAGAATCACAGGAGCTGATGAGACACAATCAACAGCTGCTTTTATTCTGACGTTCATATAATGATCAAGATTGAACCATACACATTATTATGAATTATGACACTTGCCCTATTGATCAAACACATCAGACATCACTGTAACTGTAAATATCATGTGGACCAAAGTTGTTCTTCTCTTGTTTACGGCTCATTTTGGTGTAGTTATTGCAGCGTCTTCTTCATCTCTGAGAAACTGATGAAGCTTCTCAAACTGCTGTTTAATCTGACGTTCTGTGTGCTCAGCTTGAGACTGAAATCAAATCACATTCACTTCAATCATCTCAATCAACACGCATCAACACATCACATCATTCAGATCCAAGAGAAACTCAGACACCCAACATATAACAGATCCAGAAGCATGCAAGAACGTAGTCTGTTGTTACACTTCATCAAGCAAAGTTTGGTCTCTGTGTTCTTTGTTTGTATTACTTACTCAGAAACTGCTTCAGATGATTCAGCATATGTGGAGGATAACCAGCTCCAGGGTAATGCTATATAAATAAATAAATTATATAGGCTATCACATTATCGCTAGTCTAGAGCAAGTTTAATCCTTAAAGCCCTGAAGCCATTTTTGCTTCCCTGAAGGTGTTGTTTTTTTCTGAGTTACATGCACACAAATAATGACTCATAACTCCAAGACTGTAGCAAGCAGAGTCAAAAGGTAGGTATCATTTGATAGAAATCTTTCAATAGTTTTATAGAAGAAAAATTAAATTTGGACATTCTCATGCTGAGAAATAGGTGATACAATGTAAGAAAAATGAATGTGCTCAAGGGAATTTTTTTGTATCATTCTTATTTGACATCCAATATCTCAGAAAATAATTCTTTTTTTGGTGATATTCGCTGACGTGTGTGCTGTATGGGATTTAAATTTTATGGTGATATGATGAAGTAATCAAATGTTACAGCATTTGGAAAGGTACCCTTTTTCTTAGCCCTTGACAGTTTCAATTGTTTTTTTCTGAGTGACATACACAGAAGTACTGCCTCACTCACGTTTAGTCAAAGCCCCAAGTAATTATGCTTGTTTTATTCTACTCGTGAGACCTTTCAAATGACATATTACACATGACTATGTGAGCTGTATGATGTTTCTGACATATTACAGTACATAGTACAAAAAAACATATTTTGTAAATAATGATACGATATGAGCAGATCAAATCAACACTTTTCATTTCATTTTCACTTTATTTACAACAGCCGTAATAGATTTAGTTTAATGGTGCAGGGGCATTTTTATCCAATTTGGTGGCATTTTTGCCAGACTTACCCAGCCTACACATGCTCCATCTATGTGATTAAGTGAGAGAGCAAACAAATACGAATAGACTGTTTCGCAATTATGTTCAGCCAATTCACCAAAAAGAGAGAACTGACTCAAAAGAAGGATTAAATCATCAGAAATACGGAACATAAATAATAACTGCTGAAATATTTACAGGGAAAATGTTTCTCAGGTCAGTCAGAGCACTCATAGTATGCACAGTGCGTACAGCCGTACACCTGCAGGTGCCACTGCTGAAAATTACTTTTGATTCTGTTTCCTCACCTTGATGTGTTGAACTGTTTTCTCAAACTCTCCTTTCATTTTTTCTCTCTGTTCAAATTTATTTTGTAAGGGCTTCAGTGCTGTTTTGAGCTTCTCCTAAAATGGACAAAATAAAAATATATAAAACACCAGATTACAGTGAAGAGAAGAAAATACAGTGATCATACAGTGCTGTGAAAAGTTATTTGCTCCATCCTGATTTCTGTTTTTCTTTTCTCACATTAAATTGATTCAGAAATTAAAACCAAACATGAAACAAAGGCAACCTGAGTAAATATAAAATACACTTAAATAGAACTTTTTCAACAGCATGAAATTAGTTAAAGGTCTTAGTGGACTAGTCAAAGTCCTGACTTGAACCCAGATCGTAAACAAGCAGTTCATGCTGGAAAACCCTCCAATGTGGCTGAAGTAAAGCAGTTCTGCAAAGAAGAGTGGACCGAAACCCCATCACAGCGCTGTGAAAGACTGATCTAAAAGGGTAGTTTCTCACATGGGTGACTTTTTTTTTTCTTAATAACTGTATTTTGTGTTTACTCAGTTTGCCTTTGTTTTATGTTGTATTTTGTCTGAAGATCTAAAACCATTTATTATGTGATGTACACAAAAACAGAAGAATCAGTATGGAGGCAAATACTTTTTTACAGTCGAGTATGTGCCATGTGAAGTTAAATAAAATGGCAGACAGAAGTATTCAGTGCATGAATGTGATGATATCTGTGTTTATAACTACTTATTGTTCTTTGCATATGAGACATTTGTACTACGTACTACCTTACATGATGAAACCACTTCACTTATTGGTCTGAATTTGTGATTGTCGTGTTGTCTTGAATCTCTGCACACTAAACACGCAGGCTGTTTGTCCTCCAGACAGAAGAGTTTGAGTTTCTCACTGTGTAAACTGCAGATCTCCTCAGATCCTGATGAACGGCTCTCATTTCTCTCCGCCAGGAATGACTCACACAAGTTTTGTAATGCAAGATATAATGGAGGATTTTCTTTTGAGGATCTTCTCCTGCAGACAGGACACTCCTGAGTTTTCTTGGTTCTCCAGAACTGTTGAAGACACTCTTTACAGACACTGTGACTACATGATAAAAGAACAGGAGCCTTGAAGATTTCATGACATACAGGACAAGAAAGCTCTTCTTCAGATAATGAAGCCATTTTCACAGTTTGAGCTCCAGCAAGCTACTCTTTACTACACGTTTTCAAACTTGAATAACCACGAGAATCACAAAGATCTGCTGTCTGTCCAGAAATAACATTTCTTAAAAGTTTTTCTCTTCATTATCCACTGATGGTTGATTCTTTTTTACTTTTGTCAAAGAGAAGAAAATCAGTGTGACAGAAATGAGAAATAAGTTAAACCTCTTCCTGGTAAGTCTTGTAAGAGGGTGGAGTTTCTGATCACCTTTGGATGTGTTTAACCCTTTAACTTTCAACCCTAAATTGACACTAAATTTTCAATTCTTAGTATTGGACACAAAAATTACCTCAAGCTGTTTTTTTCTCTCCAAAATGTATGTTTTTATCTAAACAATATATATTCTTTACTATACAGTTGAGATGTCTGTTTATGGTAAAACTTGCTTTCCAAGTGCAGTACTGTTTTCAGTGATTTTAATTCATAATTTTTGATAAATCTCAGAATTTCAGTAAATTCAGTTAATTTAGCAATTAAAAACATTTTACAGAACAGTAACATTTTTTACAACAGGAATATTGCAAGCTTTGTAAAATATCTTAGTCCATTTATCATTCATTAATTATTTTTAGTTACTTTACTTGATTTACTGGATGTTCAAACCAGAATTTTTCTACTTTTTGATTTGGCTGACATCTCAGTCAATGTACTTCATTTTAAGAAGAACTTTGTGACCAATAAAAAAGTATATGTCCTATAATAGTATGGATTCAATCCAGACATGCTGCTTCTGCCATGTTGGCATTTTCATAAGACCTACAATGTAACTTGTTTAGCTTCCAAGTCATTTATGAATCCCCTCCCAAGGCCTCATGGGATAGTAAACTGTCCTTTGTATTCATACTTCAAAATATTGCAGGAAGTAGTATTTCATCTGGGTACTTTTCAACTACTGTAGAATACTGTGAATTCAGACATACTAATGTAGCCTATTGTCTTTGTTTGTTTGTCTACTACATAGTAGTGAAGTGGGCATATTCAGACGTGGAGACTGGCACCATTCTGATATATAACACCCAGTTTTCATTACCCAGTCAGTTCTTTTCCACTGCAATAAGAAAAATTAAATTCTGCCTGAATGAATGTGAGTAACATTTATGAAATTATATTTGAAATCCCATTAATATTTTGTCTATGTCTGCTTGAGGAAAAAATGAAATATTCTTATGGACATCCTCATAATCCACTCTCAGACACCCTTATTATTGTCAGAGTTCAGTCTGTGCCTCCATCCGACTATTTTCACCCTTTACAGACATATCAACTATACATGTTTCTGTATTTCTCTTATATTTTGCCATT